CTGATGGCGGGAAGCAGGGGCGGGGAGGAGCAGGGGGCGGAGCGTGCAGGGGAGGGGAGGAGGGGGAAGTGAGCTGGGGGCGGGGCGACAGCTGCAGCCCGGGGCCCTCTTGGCGCAGGGCCCAATTCAGCCGGCCCTGCCAGGGAACCCCCTCACCTGTATCCCCAGCTCTGATCTCTCTCTTGATCGCAGGCCCTTCGGGGCTTTGCTGAACGAACACTAGGATGCTGCGCTCTGGACGGTTCAGGCTCTGGCTGGGGATTCTCCAGACGCTGGTAGCGCTGAACGTGAGATCCGGGTTCTCCCTGATTTCTGGGCTCTCTTCTCTCCATCTCTCTGTCTCACCACAGCTCCACTGGATCCGGTGAATCTCCCTGGGGTAAAAGTTCTGGATCTGGACGGCGAACGGCACCGCCTCCGGGGGCTCCCAGTGCGGTAACACCTGGATCTCGGACACCTGCGGCGGGACTGGGGCAGACAGCAGGAGCGTCAGTGACGGGGCAGTCGGAGGCCGGGGGCTACATGTGACTCTGTGACGCCCCGTCCGTCTCAGCCCCGCTCCCCAGGGCCGGCGCGTCGTCCCAGCGGGAATTATTTCCCCAGCTTGGAGCCAACTCCCCCCTGCCTGACCTCCCCCGGCCGAGCACCAGGCCCTGAGCGTGGGGCTCTGTGACCCCCAGAGCTGGGCCGACTCCCCGCTGCCCAGGAGGGGAGGGGAGCTGGACGTGGGCTCGTTCCCACTGGGAGACTCAGGGCTGTGCGGGGCCTGACCCAGAAGTGGGGAGCACGGGGAGGGAACAAGGAGCCACCCCACAGCCCATCCCCCACCCCAGTGAGAGCCCCAGAGACAGCTGCAGCCCCTTCACTCGCGGGAGCCTGGGGCTGCAGCCCCCCAGAGGGAGCGGGGGGAGGTGGGGCTGCCCCCCGAAGGTACATGGCCCTGGCTGGCAGGGAGAGGGGGGGCTGCACCATCCCCAGGGGTGAGGGACTGAGCACCCGGCCCCTGCACTCACTGGGGCTCCAGCGTGGGGGGCACGTGGGGGTCAGCGAGGGACTGATGGGGGCAGAACTGCTCCGATTTCACGGGCTGTGTTCGGCCGTTTCCCTTCACCCCCGGAATGGACGAGATGCTCCAGTGACCAGAGATTTCAGACAGAGACACTGACCTGTCACCTGCAGCTCCCGGCTGCGTCTCTCCAGGGGCGTCTGTAGGGTGCTGTGTCCCACCCGGCAGACGTACTCGGCCCCCTGGTCTCTCTGCACCGAGGGGGTGAAGCTGAGTCTCGTCTCCTGCTGGAAGCTTTTCCCGTCCTGTGTGCGGGGAGCTCCGGGATCGATTCTGTACTCGGCAGAGCCCTGCAGGGGAACAGCAGTCCCGGCCCCCCAGCCCCTCCTGAGCCAGGTCACACTCAGCGCCCCGGGGAAATGCCCCGTCATGCGGCAGCTCAGGGTGATTTCCTCCCCTGCCGTCACTGACTCGGGTTGGGAGATTTCCGACACCTCCGGGGGCCGCAGGAGACCTGGGGAATGAAACACCCAGAGACAGTTACAGGCCCCGTAAGGGGGAGACGGGGCCTGGCGGGGGCTGTTCCCCCCTCACTTCAGACAGGAGATCTGACCCCTGAGTGGGGCTGTGTGACGAAGTCGGGGATTTTCTTGTTTTCGGTGGGGTTTCAATGGTTTGCATGCGGAGGGGGTGGGACTCAGTTTCCCTGGGGGTTACTGGTTTAACGAGGTGAGGGGAGAGGGAGTTTGTTTTGCAGAGGACCGGAGAGGGAACTTGGGACCCCAGCCAATGGCCTGGAGGATGGACACCCCAGCGACCGGTGACCTGAGATCCCGACCTGGAAACCCAGCTCAGGAGACGCAGCTGGTTCTGGCCAGTGGGAGGACAATGGGCTGCAGAGTGAGGACCCAGTGACTTAGGGTGACCAGATGTCCCGATTTTATAGGGACAGTCCCGATTTTTGGGTCTTTTTCTTATATAGGTTTCTATTACCCCCCCACACACACACACCACCTGTCCCGATTTTTCACACTTGCTGTCTGGTCACCCTACAGTGACTGAACCAGCCGGGCAGAAGCGAGGAGCGGAGGCCCCTGTTTACGGCCCTGTTTACCTGGAGAGAAGACAATGGACAGAGGTGGGGCCGGGGATCTCAGATGCCCAGCTGGGAGCAGGGGGGCTCTGGGCTGGAAAGGGGGAGCAGGCAGAGCCCACCTGGATGCAGGGAGACTGGGATGTGCTGGGCTGAGGGAGGCCAGGCCTGAGGCCCTGAGAGTTTCCTGTGCTGTGTTCAACCCTCAATAAACCCTCCTGTTTCATGCTGGCTGAGAGTCACACCAGTCTAGAGAACAGGGTTGCGTCAACCCCCTTCGGGGAGTGGAGGCCTGGGGGGTCCAGAGCGAGGGGACTCCCTGAGGGGGCCCATGGCAGAGACAGACATGCTAAGGCTCAGAGAGGTGCGGCTCTAGGAGGTGGTGGGGCCTGACCCTGAGAGAGAGTGGACCCCCGAGAAGGGCTGTCGCACTGAAAGGGGCACCCCCCACGGACCGCACGGGGCCAAGAGTGGGCACGATCTGTGAGTCCTTGACAAGCTGTTACCGCATAAAATCACCCCATGTGTGACACTGTTACACCCCGACCCATCGGCGTCTCCAGCCGAAAAGGGGGACGAGGAATATTAGCTCCCAAAACTCCTTCATCCCTCAGGGACCCTGTGGGGGGCAGCGATTCCTGCTCATTCCCCGTCCGACCCCAGGGAGTCCCCCCTCACCTGTGTCCCCGGCTTTGATCTCTCTCTCGATCGGGGGCTCTCGGGGGCTTTGCTGAACGGACACAGTGACTATAAATTCCGGACGGGTGATTTGGTCACTGGGGATTCTCCAGAAGCTGGTAGCACTGAACGTGAGATCCGGGTTCTGGCTGATTTCTGGGGTCTCGTCTCTCCCGCTCTCTGCCCTGTCCCAGCTCCACTGGATCCGGTGAATCTCCCTGGGGTAAAAGTTCTGGATCTGGACGGCAAACGGCACCTCGTCCCGGGGCTCCCAGTGCGGTAACACCTGGATCCCGGACACCTGCGGCCGGGCTGGGGGTGGGCAGACAGCAGGAGTGTCAGTGAGAGCAGGGGCTGGGGAGCTGAGGGGATTCACCCCACACTCCGATCCCATAGGGGGAAATCCCGTCCCTGCTCACTGTGTAATTCACAATCCCTTCTCAGATTGTTCTTCCTGCTTCCCATCCCCCTGGGGAACCAGAGACTGGGCAGCGGAGGGGGTGGGGATCTTAGATCTCTGCTTGTACCTCTCACAGCCTCCATCCCCCTCCCATCCGAGCCCCCATCACCGAGGGGAGACTGGGACGGAATCCGGCCCAGGAACCTCCCTCCCTGCACCCTGGCTCAGCAGGGCGGGGGGGACAGGTAGAGACCTGAAATCACAGCAACACCCCACCCCAGACTGGCTCCCCCAGCCCTCACCGGCGACGTCCTCAGCGAGCAGGGAGCAGCCCCAGGCCCACGAGCCCCCGGAGACCGAACTCCTCTCACTCGGCGTCTCCTGACACCCTCCAGGCCCAGCAACCCTGCAGGCAGGACGGGATCCCCCACCCCCATGAGGGGGAACTCAGCCCTGGGGACACTCACCCCACGGCCGGATCTCCCCGGACTCTCGCTGCTCTCGGATCCCACTGGCCTCGTGGTGGAAGCTGCACCTGACCCGCGCCCCTTCGTCCTGCACCGTGGGGGTGAAGCTCAGGGAGGCCGCGAGGCAGGTCCCTGATCTGTCCTGTAAAAACAACAATGAGCAGTGAAGTGGCACCTTAAAGACTAACAGATTTATTTGGGAATAAGCTTTCGTGGGTTAAAAAACCCACTTCTTCAGATGCATGGAGTGAAAATTACAGATACAGGCCTAGATATACTGGGACATGAAGAGAAGGGAGTTACCTTACAAGGGGATCTCTCCTGTGTCGCTCTCCAGCGCTGGGGCTGGGGGTGTAACAGCGGCTGGTGCTCAGACCCCTCCCCGGCCTCGCTGACCCCGTCAGTCCCGATCACCGTCCTGTCCTGTCCGTGTATCCGCTCCCACGTCACAGCCGTGTCCTTGGGGAACGTCCCCTCCATGGAGCAGCTCAGGGTCACCTCCTGTCCCAGGAGACACCGTGCCGGCCCCAGCACCTCGGAGACGGAGTAGGGGGGCTCCCGTGCCTGGGGTCAGAGCGACACAGGGGGCCAGTGGG